TTTCAACTAATTGTTACTACGTTCACCATTGTTGACCTGCTCTGAGTGTTACATGTTGAATGTAAGTCTTCACAGTAATTATACACTCAGCTTCAAAGACCGTATGGTTGGGAGCCAATAACAGTACAAATTGTACCAAGCTTTTGTGATGCCCTTTCTATAGTTGTCCAGCGCTTCTTTAGCTTAAGTTTCATCTTGGAAACCACCAGATGGTGATCTCAGGTTATGTCAACTCCTCACTTGGCCCTCATGTCTTCCATTAACCTCCTGAACATTTTCGTGATGCAAATATGGTCTATCTGGTTCTGTGTAGTGTGATCCGGTGAAATCCATGTAGCTTTGAGTAAGCGCTTGCCACCTATAACCATTTAATTGAGTGTACATAAATTTGCAAATCTGTCGTCATTCTCGTTCCTTTCTCCCTCTTCATATTGTCCCATGATGTTTTCGTATCCGGTGTTGTCCATTCCATACCATCAGGATCGTCATATGTGTTTCTCTACGATTTACGGCAGCCTCTTATAAGACTGATCTTCATCACATTCATTGCTATCGTTAGTAGGTGCATAGCACCGGACGACATTAATTATGATCCTTTCCTTCTTTATTTAGAAGGGTACTTTGACTTTCCCGTATCCATGAGATTCCTATCCTATTGGTGCTTTCCGTGATTTTTGAACAACATCAGTGCAAAGCATTTCTTCTTCTCGACCAAAGTGCAACTGCGTCTCTCTCGAAACTAATCCTTTCTGTCCAGCTTGGGTTAAATGGGCTTCACTTAATACGAGAACTGATAAGTTGTATCTTTTGATTCCCAAAACCATTCGGCTAGTCATTTCAGTCACATCCAGTGCTCAGACATTCTATACACTTATATTAAATGTTGCTCTGATTGTCAGAACGGACATCGGCCTCGTGATTCCCAAAGAATCTCGACTTTCACCATGGGGCGTCATAATGAAAACTCCTTAACTCTTAGGGGAGAGTTCAAGTAGTTTTAATTGTTTGTTCTTGTTAGCGTTTGGCAAGGTTGATTTATTTAGACTGGGGTTGCTGATGCTATGCTCAACCCTCTTCGTCTATTCGAGCTTGGGACCTGCAGTAACCCTAGAAGGGCTATAGGCGGAGTCATCGTGGGTATTACTGAGATCAAGATTAGCGATGCCGAGATTATTCTTATTGATGCACTTGTCATTAATATCCAGGGCATTGGAATTGTATGAGAACCATCCATTTAATGGTTCGCAGATGACAGCTTGGTCATCACGCGTGACTCTACCGTGCATTATGGAGTGAGTGTCGCAACATACACTTTTTCTTCTGCGCTTTTCCAACAGACGATAAAGAATATGTGATTTAGGTGTGTTAGTGAGCTGGTGCTGGCTTTGTTTCATTAATCACTCATCTTTGTAACCGTTATTACATAAATTCCAACAATGTTTGAAATCATAAGGCAAAAAGAAGCAGTGACTGCAGTTTATTAGCGAATAGCCTAGATCACATGGCTATATACACATTTAGCGGGTTTGAAGCAGAGTGAAAAATATTTGTGTATGCGAGAAAATACGGAGGCAAATTTATAGTCAAATCTCATAAGGGCACAGCAAAGCAGAGCAAAGGCTAATAATAGGATTATAGTACATATATACATGGGAAGAGCATGAACATCGAGTGATGTTTAAGTGATCAACATTTTAGTTAGAACCTGTCATGTGATCGAGTGATTATAACAGTACAAAGAAGTATGCAAATTGTTACTATCCAAATAACATTGTCTATTAAGTAAGTTAATTAAAAAGCTTAATCAAAATTAACCATAATTGAAATTTGTTGTAGATAGTTTCTATAACCTCAGCATATTCGTCTGCTTGTTTATATCTTCCATGCCTACTTCTTACACTCTCGGGTTTGGAGTAAATATGGTACAGGAAGCTGAAGTCTTTCAACATGAAATACATCCTTTTTATGTTTCGTGGCTTAATCTTGTTGTTTTACTGATGTAAGGAGTTATTTCCTTAAAAGCTGACTTATTGGGTGAAGATGTAACTGTAATTTGTACAGGAAGTTAGAATGGTGTTGTTTAGGATATTAATGGGAAATCTAGGTAAAATATAATTTTTGAGCAATTGTGAAATATTTTGTCTTCACTACAAGACCTTATGGTAGGAATTTGTCTTGGGTTAGGAGGTGGGCATTACTTGTAATTATTTTTGTCAAATGGGTCAGCATTTTCTGTGGCAGTGAACTGCCTATGATTCTCATGGCTATCTATGAGGGGGATTTTATTACTATGTGATTACGAGGTAGTGCTAAGGTATGAGTGGCAGGAAAAATCCTTTAGATATTTCTTACGTCGATAGCAGAGTGAAAGGGCTATTTTTAACAGATGGTTTGTGTGTGACAGTGAACGGATACCTATGACTATCGGTACAATACCTGAAAAGTTTTCTGCTACTATATGCTGACGTGGTGATTATTGAGTAAAGAAATATTGTAAACATTATCCCATCATAGTTTTGATCTAGAGACCGGAATAACCACTGTATAGGTTAGGCTGATGTGTAAAATTCACGTTAGTATTATGATTTCTTTTACGAAACTATTGTTGTATGGGCCACTTATGCGGACAGGCACAAGTAGTATGTAGCAGGAGCTGGAAATGGAATGCTTACCACCAGAATATTTAAATAAAGAAGAGAAAAGAAAACAGAAGGCGATCGGACTAACAACAGAATTAGAAGAGTGGTTGACTGTGTGAAGGATAACTCAGGGAAGATGTGCAGATGATGCATTTAATGTATGACTTCCATATTTTACTAAGGTACTGTGTAATTTGCGTAAAACAGTTAACTGGTTTTTCCCACCAAGTCTTCGTTCACTACACTATGAATTGTGTTTAATAATACTTATACCTAATGGATATCATCTTATATTTATGTATAAATTAGAAATCGGTGCATGATATGCTCAACAACCCTTATGCCAAGATTGGGAATATTGAAATGGAAGCTTTTTCAAACACAGAGAAAGACGAGTAACTAAAAATGTATATAATATCAAGTCATAGTGAAAATAATGAACAGTTGGAGTTTTACTATACAACTTTGTTGGATTATTTACCAAAAATATCAGATATGGTTCGATCAAAACTATACTAATAAGTTAGACATTTCTTCCTTACAGGAATATTCAAAATATGTCATTAATATGTAGATAGTATCCACCATATATTATTCTTGTTTAGTGTACTATTAAAAACCAGAGAGCACTATACAATTGTTTTTTTCTCAGTATGGAATTCCTGAGCAGTGGGCGCACATGACCTCACCAGGGATCGAACTCATAAACCTTCAGATCACGTGAAGAATATTTTATCTTTATAATCAATAAGTCGACGTCCAAAGGTATAATTCCAACTGCATCTATTTCCCCATAAAGCACAACAACTATCTAATACCATCATTGACAACTGTCTCACTCCCAACATTTCTAAACTCAACAAACTGTTACTCCTGACTACAATTTCAGGGACATCTTGAAGTAGATCATTGTGTTCACTGCTAAGGAATTCGATACTAAAACGAACTTGTTATCCTATGATCCTTGGTTTTCAAAGGTATGCTAAATTAGGTCAATCCGTGATGAGTACTCTTAAAAATTAAGCCGATCTTCAGAAAGCACTTATAAATATCATCAGTTGGGACTTCTCATGATTCTTCTGTTACTTTTGTAGTTTAAAAAAAAGTAATACAAATAATACGATGATCAGATGAAAAATTATTAGTGACATTTCATATGGTTCCGTGAGTATGGCTCACACCAAATTTCAACGGATTCTTAAAATCCTCAAGTAAAAACAAATGTTTAATCTTCAAATTTCAGAATCATCAAAATAGAAGATGAGTACTGATTCACCGTTTGTTAAAAAGTCAAACTATGTGTATTTTGCATGTATCGAGGAAAGTGTTTTAAATTTAAGTAGAAGCTATTGATGAACAATATTTCCTATTGAATTTCAAATGATATATTTTTCATATGACTTTATGTTAAGTGAACAATGTTTCGGATACAATATAGATAATAAACTTTCTTTAGTTGTACTAAATTCACTTAACAGTTATTATTCGTAACACTCTAGGATCTCAACAGTTTAAAGATCCCCATAGAATATTCGAAAAATTGATCAATATTTGAGCGGACAATTGTTTTCAATAACTTCATCATCTTTCTCTACAATTATAAGTGCATAATTATGGTATTTTAAAAAGGCCAAAATGAGGCATGTATTAATTAATTTGACAATGTTGTATGTTATATGCCATATTTGTGGCGTGGTCTACTCATATCAACATAAGTAGTATATATCGTGAGTAAGGAATAGGATATCTGACAGCAAAAGATTGAGATCAAGAACAGAAGAACAGAAATAGAAAGCAATTGATGTGAAAATCCAGGAGTAATGAAGCCTGAGACAATTAATAAACATTTTGCAAATAGAGTATCAGAGAATGATTTTTATATTTTACCAAGTTACTTTGTAATTTGTGCTAAATACATAGTCAGTTGTCCTCACCTGTGTTCTCACTCACTACAATAATACTATTATGCTGATTGTGACTGGATACTTTAATCCAGATCATTTTGACCTTTATTAAATGACCTTTCTAACACACAATTTTGAAGTATATATGTCTTCTAGATGCAAACATTCAACACTGTCAAATCAATTAATACATGCCTCATTTTGGCCTTTGTAAAATATCATAATTATGGACTTATAACTGTGGAGCCTGATGATGATAAAGGTATTGGAAACAATTGTCTGCTCAAATATTGTTCAGTTGTCAATACTCTAGGATCTATTTTAGATGATAAATCAGACAAGTCAATTCATGATTAATCGTCCTGTCGTTACATTACCTGTCAGTTTAAAATTATATTTATGAACCAATCAAAATTTAGTAAACTCAAGGTTATTTGGTTGAATTTTATTATCCTAAATAAAGAAAGCTGGACCAATTGATTATTTTTCACAAATTATGTTATCCGAATGGATAGAACAAATCTGTTTTGTATATAAAGTTAAGACTATATTGAAACTTTTGGGAAATTTGGGAAATTTCAGTTTTGTTCTGAATTTAATATGTACATTATAAAATTATAAAAATGTTTCAAAAGTGGGAATGAATAAATATGAAAAGACAAAATGTTCGAACACTTTCATTGATTGTAGTAACATTTACTTATTTATTACTTGGAGCTGCTATTTTTGATGCATTAGAATCAGAATTTGAAGTAAGTGAAGATGTACGTCTAAGAGAAAGTGCTGAAAGTTTACGAACTAAATATAATATAACAATTGATGATTTTGAAAGGATTACACAATTAGGTATACAAATGAAACCATATAAAGCAGGTACACAATGGAAATTTGCTGGAGCATTTTATTTCTCTACAACAGTTATAACTACTATAGGTAAGTCTATAGTGCTTTTATGATCGAAATTGTTACTGTACGTATTCGATTAATACAAAAGTAATGGGAATAGTGGATTTTAAGTAAATGTTAAGATGTTAAGGTATAGCAACAAGACTCTTCTAACAATCAGCTGCTAATAATTATCTCACTGTAGAATAAAATTAATTAATTAGCAGTTATAGTATTAGAGTGCCCTTTGTCAAATACATCAAAGAATGATATGGTTCAAATGCATCAAACTTCAGTTATTAACATAATTTTCAAAATGCCCTTCGTATGTCATAATCTTCGAAAACTAATAGTGAGTCCTGGTAGGTCATTCATTTAGTCTTCAGAAGGTTAATTAGGTGAAAACATTAGTCCACTATCTGTATAGTTGGTTTTATATTAAAAATATAACTCTGAGGCTAATCATAGCAACAACGATAACTCATCTTTACGTTATCTATGAAAAAGTCCCATGGTATCGTGAAAGTAATCATGTTCAGCGGGAAGAAACTGTTTCGGGAAAAGGATCATATTTGATCTGTTGATCCAGTGACTGAAATTCTTTCTGGAAGTCTTATGTTTTTTTGGTCTGAATGATTTAATCATGAAGATTTTGTTGTCTTTCTAAACACTGTCATAGGCCCTAACTTCAGATAGAAATTACCCACTACAATCTCTCCACATCTGATGTAGAAAATGACTAATTATACTGTCATTTTTGAACATTTATTTTGATTTTGAATCCCTGGCCTAATTTCTGATTTCTTAGTTGTTTACCCTTTTTGTTATTGGCCGAAAGATTTGGTCAATTACAATATTTCTGCTGATTTATGAGCTGAGTGTCATGCTTATAAAAGTTCCCTAGTTTTCTTTGTTTTCCCTGTCTAACATTTTCTCATTTTCATTGCTGAATTTTTATTTCTGTAATTTTCCGTATTTATTTACATGAAAAAAGGTATTCGTTAGCTTTTAACAGCTAGCTAGTATTCAAGTAAACTCAAGCAAATAGGACAGCCACCTAGTCAAAAGTAATATTTATTGCATTAGTTGCAGTTTATCTTGAAGTGGTTATTTAGTTTGTCCTACTTTTTTGTTGTGTTCTTTGGCTTGAGTAATATTGACTATAATGATAATAGTGAGATTGTGCAATATGACTACTGCCGGAGGCCTTAACAACCTATATGTGATTCCAGTAATGTTTATGTAGGGTGTGATTACCGTTTGCTAATGTGCGCTGTTGGTTTTGTTCTTGTTGATGGTTTTGGCAAGCATTTCTTGATGTAGTTTTGTGGCTTATAGAGTCTAAGGAGTTAAAGCAGGAAATTCTTTTACCATATTAATATAATCTGCTTTAAACAATCCTATCTGCTTTTACGTGATTTGCTAATTTCATATTATCAATAAAAGGTTCTAAAGTCATAATAATCAAATTTATTATCAATCGCTAAAATCTATTGGTTTTTTGAATAGTATGCTTCAAAAGTACCCATTGATTAGACTTTCATATCCAGTGCTGTGTTTTATTCAAGTAAACAAATACTCAAAAGTAGTGTTGTTGATTTAGTAAACTAAATCAGGCAAAGTTATAAAGGACAAGATTTGTCAATAGGATTATATACTATTCACGGCATTTTATAAAAAAAATCATCCGTTTCATTGTATGATTGAAGTTGATACGTACAAAAAAGAGAATTTTTCTGAGTCTTAGATAAGATCAACTGATATACTAAAAGAAAATCTTTGTATTACAAATAAACTTTATATTTCATTCAATGTTCAGTTTGTTCGATGAATATAAAGCTGAACTTTACAAAGAGTATATTGTTGATAATGTCAGATATATGGTTTAAACCTTGTTTAAGTCATATTTTATTTACTGAAAAAGTGGTTGAATATTTGAGAAAATAATCAATTGACTATAATTAATAAATTTTCCCTTAGTGTTTCTCAGACTGATTGTATTTCTCTGATGTTTGTTTGCTAACCTGTCACCATGAGCTATCTCAAGTAACCTAATCAGAAGTTACTTCATGGAGAGAGAAAGCAATTTTATAGCTTGTTAAACAGATCTACTTTTTATGTGATTGTGAAGTGTATGCTAATTATGTCGACGGATATAAGAGATGGAATTCATGCCAGCAGAAGGCTAAGGTGATCATGTTAAAGAGAATAGAAATGAATTGTGAATTGGAAGAATCATGCAGAATATGAAGGACAAATGATGGAAATTTGCAAAAAATGAAGTACTCAATATAAGGTTCTCATATTTTACGAAGATATTTTGTAAATTTCTACAAAACAATAATCTGGTTGTCCGCAACTGTATGTTCGTTCATTACAAATGCACAAAATCAATAATCAAACAGGTTATTATACGATAAAGCCTTTATCTTATATTCACTTTCAAGACTAACAAACATTTCACCTTGAAATATACTTTATTTTGCTATGGATTAAAAGTTCTAAGAAAGAAAAAACAGAAAAGAAAAACCATCTGATTTGACAATGGAACTGTAAATAATTAGAAAACACAATAAAATTTCAACTTTATTTTGAATTATAAAACATTAACACCGTTGGATGCCGGCCGGTTCAGTGGTAGAGTGGTTAAGCGCTCGCGCGCGAAACTAATAGTTCCTGGGTTCGAATCTCATGAGGTGGGAACGTGGATGAGCACTGCTGCAGAGTCCCATAATAGGGCGAAACAGCCGTTCAGTGCTTCCAGGTTTTCCATGGTGGTCTAACTTCAATTAACTCATGATCTCAACTATTAAAAAATAATAAAATTTTGTTTTCTGTTGTTTTGGTTACTCGAAATATTTTTTTCAATTTTTTTATTGGTCAATTAAATTTATCATCTGTTTTCTGACAAATCTATTTTAATAATAATTTTTTTTTGTTTTTTACAATTTTCAACAATTAATTATCATATTTGGGGGGGGGGAATAAAAAAAGATAAAGAATAAAAGCAAACAAAATGTTATTGGAAAAAATAGTAAGAGAGTGGAAGCTTTATTATATCTTAAAGTCCTAACAGAAACCCTAGAATGATTTCATTAGAGAACAATCATTATAATAATGATAGAAATAATAATGAGATAATAATGACAACTACATATTGCTTGTTATCAATAAAAGATAGAAAAAATGTTTCAAATGTTGGAAACAAATATATAAATGGTGCCTTTTGTTTTCTTTTTGTTTTCTTTCTATTTCTTGTTTATATGGGTACATATGCTCCTTTTATATTCATTCTTTAGGTGACAATTAGGTTTACGATTGTATAGTTTGACCATATGCTTGTATTAATGAATGTGAGCTGATGTGAATAATGAATAGTTTAGGTTATTTAGGTTATTTATTCTCTGAAGAAGTGGCTTACACTAAGTCACGAAACGTCAGAAAATCTAATTTTTCTACTCATTGGGATATTACAAATATATTAATTTATTTAGAATAGTTTAAGAGTTAAATATGAAAGATATGTATAAATAATTGGTAAAATAAAAACAATCAACCGTTTATTAGTAGTATACATTATTTAGTTTTTAAAATATTTTTTAGTAAACCGATTTTTTATGTGGTTAAGATCATGTTTCAATGGAAGCTAAACCACCATGGAAAACCTGGAAGCACTGGAAGACCGTTTCATCCTATTGTGGAACTCCTCAGCAGTGCGTATTCACGATCCCGCCTCGCAAGATTCGAACCCGATTTCTGAAAAAAATCATTTGTATTTTATAGATTACATTAAATAAACGTTTATTACGGTATGAAATCATCAATAGTCAGCTACTGTAAGATAGAGCTATTAATTAATACACATGTATATTCACTTCATTCAATCATATTTACTGGTGTTTACTTCCACGAAGGACCATTTATCTCTAGGTCGAATAGATACTACAATTTTCATAATAGTTCAATATTCCATCTCATGTTTACGTGAATTAAAAATCCTTGATGACCGATGGATAACATTTGATTATCGATAAGCAGATAGTAGTTCTGAACTGCATACTATTTACCAGAATTATTTTTATATATGAATGACATGATCTGTTAGGAACTCAAACTTTAATTTGTCAACAGACAGTATGTTCTCACCTTAAACCTACCCTGATCATATTAGCTTATTGACCATAGTGATTAGGTTTCAAATTGTTTTCACATTATTTATTATTATTATCCTTGTCTACTCTTACCCCCCCCCATTTCCAGTCTAATTGACCTTGACAAGTATATATGTGATCAGATTGTTCGGAATGTATTGCGCTAATATATCACCGTCATCTTAATACACCATCAAAAGGACTAAATGCTTCAAATAAAAACAAGGATGTTGAATTGTTTATTTTAGTGTATAAAACGTGAAATTTTTGTGAGAAGAGATGATCGATTAAAATTTAACCGAAAAGTGGGACTAGATAATAATATTTTTTTTATCGAATAATAAATATAAATGTGGCTTTTGACTTATATAGAAAATTTTTTAATATACAATATTGCTAATGCCTATGTAATTCTATAATATGTATTGTGGTACGTTCTACTGATGTCGATACATACAAGTAGTATGTATCATCTGTCAAAAGTGGAATGCCTGGTGGCCGAACGTTAAGTAAAATTGAAGAGAAGAGAACGAAAACAAAGAATGATTGGTGTGAAAATGGAAGAACAATGAAGTTCGAGACAATTGGTCAAGTATTTGCAAATGCGCTGTTTACTGTATTGTCCTCAGATTTTAATATGAGATTCTGTAATTTTGTATTCGAGTACATCTGGTTGTCCTCATTCGTGTTCCCGTTGACTACAGTATCATTTAGAGTACAGTTATTATTTGGTCACCCGATACAAATTAATTATTAAAGCTTTTTAACTATCAGATATGTGTAGTATTTTCTCGATGGAAGTTTAATCTCATCTTTAAAATATGTTTGTTATATCCCCTAGTGAATTATGAATGGTAACTCTAAGGACTATTTATCGACCAATGTATTATGCCTATT